CACACACACACACACACGTCTGTGTATATACATATATATACCTAGACCCCTATAAACCTTATAAATAGTCGGTTACGAAAAATAACCAGGTTATTAAAAAGGGAACCGGGTTTTGGTTTGGAAACCAGGTTTTACGATATCTGGATCAGCAGCTGTTTCCTTACGAAACCTTGAATACGATCATAAAGACTAACATCCCTCGACACCCGTCAGATTCCGAAGTAAACCTCCGACCCAAAACCCTTTCAAGGCCCTGACCTGCCCAAAACCTTTGAAGCCTTTCGTAAACAAACCTTTCCCCAAACCCAATCCCGGTATACAAAGCAATCCTCTTGATATCCCAACCGAAAGATTGACAGACTTAGAAGCCGAAGCCCCCGCCCGAAGATAAGACCAACATCCCGAAAGCCCCAAAGCTGGATCTTTGCCGTGGTGCACCTCGATCTTCCGACATGCCGGGCACTTAAGGGAGACGCAGCAAGGAAGACACAGCTCGAGAGAGACATGTATACATATATTCAACATGCTATAAGTTCTCACCACACACAAATCTCGATGCGTGCTGTCATCCATTGCTAGCTGCTAGATGCCGTTGCATCGGGCACCAGGTAGCCTGCCTGTACATAATGCTTGTACGCTGCTTGTAAATGCCTCTCCACTACTCTTTTGGTAACAGTGGTGGGGTGGAGCTTCCTGCTGGTTCTCGAATTTCGACCTATGTAGTCTTCGGCCAACTGGACGGACCAAACGAGCGGGTTCATGATGTAATTGTATTGTTTAGCCGCCAAGACGAGATCTTGCAGGCATATGTGTTGTAGGCAATGAAGTTTCGGAATCAGGGTAAACAAGCACCGGTTTTGGCGCACAGCTTCGGTGGCGCACCACGAATATCTCCTGAGAAACCGTAGGCCATACTGCCCCAAAAGTGTGGCCGTGTCGCGGTCGAGGAAGGCGTCCTGTTGATACAAGCCTGACAGAAGCTTGTTCAAGGATTGCACAGCCTCGATACAGTTCGTCAGCAACGGGTCCTGAAAAGCTTTGCCTGTTGTCACCGCTTCGATAAAATCGCAAAATGTAGTCGACAAAGAACCCTTGTACCAAGATCCACTGGGAAAGTTCATGCTGTTGTCCCAACAGATTGTTTCTTTGGTAACTTTGTGCAACAAAGCCTGTCGCCTGTTCTGTTTACACCATGCCAAAAAGTCGTCTGAAAGAAGCTGAAAGCGAGAGTCTTTGGAGCGTCCTGGGTAAGTCTCGCTCAGCAGCGCCAGCGCTGAGCCAATGAGCGGTTTACATACTCCAAGGTGGCACGTATGCCAAACATCATACTTGAACAGTGCGGCAGCTGCCCCGGGCTCGGCCGGAAGTGTTGACATTGGCGAAACACCCTCGAACGGCTCCTCCTGCAAAAACGTGGAGAGCCAAGAAGGGCTTGCTGTATTTAGCTGCTCGAAATCGTGCTCCCGCCGTCCTGCCAGGCAAAGGTGGCAGATCCCTTCGGGAGCTGCCTGTGTTTTCTGTTTCTGCGTAGCGAGTTTCTTCACAACGTGGTTAAAACTGCGCTTCAGATTTCCAGATTTCACCAGCCACGGCCAATCTCCTGTGACCGCCAAAATGACGGCATGAAATTGTTTGCCTCGTTCTCGGTCACAAAGACCCTCGTTCATCAGGAAGTCGTTCTCTTCCTTGCAGTTCTGAAGAAGCAACTCGAAAGCTCCATCGTCGTTGTCGTAGATGTTTTTTGGCCAGCCAGCCTTAGCTCACATATATTTGTGGTTTCTGGGCATATTGGGTTCGGATAGGACTTCTATCTTGTCGGTTTGCATCACCTTTAGGGTTCCGATAAATTCATCAAAAAAGTTTTAGAAACAATATGTCTCATATATTGCACCTACTAAACTTACTAAACGAAGTTGCATAACGAGCCAACTCAACCATTTCTGGATTCGCTTCTGGGTTGCCTGGAGGAACCGGTTTGTGAACGAGTGTCCTCGAAAGTTCGTTCGAAGCTTTAGATAGTCTTTTCGGACTCCGTTTTGTTTACGAGCCTTGTCCGCCGGGGCGGATCCTCGTCCCAGGATGGACGAATAACTGGTGACCAAAAAAGCTGTTCTTCTTCGTCCGCGTCCTTCGTCGCCGTGATAAATCAAAGGTGCACAGCGGCCCAAATACAGACCTTTTGCCTCCAAATCGAAAATGGGGTGGCGGGGGTGGGAAGCTCTATACCTCGACCAGAATGCGTTGAGTATGGCTTCTTCTCGGGGCTCGTCTCTGGCAATGAGCCCAGTCACGATGTGCCAGCAATGAGAATCGATAAGAAATTGCACCCAGTCCCGCAGTCGCAAGATGGTGAGTCGTCTGCTATTCAGGTTGACGTACGACAGGGGTATGTAGTTCTCTAGACTCAGACGATACCGCTTCACCAATACACGATGAGTCTCCCTCTCAGCATCCTCCTCTCTGCATGTTGAAAGCTCTAGCAAACCGCCGCTAGCACGGGCCGCTCCCTCTCCGATGTCCCGCACCACATTCCGAGCTGCTCGTATAGCCGAGGAGCAAGAGGCCTCGGCACAGGGCAACGGTACTCAGTCAAGTTATTCTCTGTAGTGGCAAGGGCATGCTGATCGATTAGCAGAGTACGCATGCGAGCACATGAGTGCAAGCAGATTGAATCATTTCTTTCTCGCCTCAGACACGACTCCTATATAAAACCTTTATGCACAAAGCTTTCTCTTGAAGCTTCTGGCATTTCCACTGGGCGGATGCTTGAATGATCTGTACACCAAATAGGTCATGAACATATCGTCTGAGGTCGCGCTTTCTGTGATCGTATCGCCTCCTTGGCGAACGTTGCGGCATCCAGGTCGGCCTTGGCTTTGAATTCTCGTGTAAAGACTTCAATTGTCTCTATACTGCCCACTCTCTGTCTTTCATTCTCTTTCTCTCTCTCTCTCTCTCTGTTGATCTGTATATAGGTTTAGGGGTTTAGGGTTTAAGGTTTAGGGTATATAACATTAAACAATCTGACTCCCTGCGAGTTGCTCTGGTACTGATTGATTAATGCTGCTTCGAGCATTGCAGGTCCAAAGGCCTCGTGGGATACATGGAGAATGATCATCTCGGACCAAATATCTTTCTCCTGGCAGTAGCCATACAGAGCATTCGTCCATCGCCATATCGGGTTATGGGTCCACCCGAACTTGAAGACCTGAGGTTCCAGCTTTTTAAAGTATTCTTCCACGACACGAATAGAATGTTGTAAGACAGCACCGGCCACAAGACCTTTGCGTGGAAGGCGGAAGACCAGCGGGAGCTTTTCAGCACGGATCTGAGACATCAGACTTTCAGTGTTTGCCATGACCCGGGGATTGTCAACTAAGCAATCGTCTGCAATCTGTTTAAATGCAGCTTCGGGATCTTCAGCTAGCCGGGGTCGTTCGGAGGAAGCCGAGGGTGCCCCAGTGCCACCAGTATGGCTATCAAGAGGTTTGTTCCAGGGAAACGGACCATCAGAAGCCTCAGCTGCACACGTGCTGCTTAACCATCGATCGACAAGGGAAAAACAGACACATACAGCACACCAGCATATACACGACAGCAGCTTCAGACTTGAATTTTGAAAGACCGGGAACGGATCGATGGCAAGTCAGTAGCTCCAGCAGCTCATCATCCACAGATTCAAAGCTCATGGCCCGACAAGCCCGGACATCCCTCGCGATCACACCTATATAAACTGGGGCCGAAAAACCTTCGACAGATACCTTCATGCTTTTGAAGACCTCGACCGAACGCTGGCCGTCCTAAGGCCCGAGCACCTTCGCCGATCTCCGCAGCGAAGCCACGAGCAGCGAACCCAGCTTTAGGACCTGGCCCAAGAATTTGTGTCGCATACTCTCGTTCGATCTATTGAAAATTGGCATAGGACACGCTGTAAATGTGGATGCGAGGCAACAGAAAGGTTGGCAGAGAGCATTTACCCTTTCAGAAGCGCATCACTGCGAAGCTTGTGGCTATGGACCACTCTAAGCTAAGCACTAAGTCCCCTTGCGGAACAAGTTTCGAAACTCGAATTGTCACATATATGTCAATGTGACTGCGGAGTTCGTGTGCAGCCCGGCATTGACATCAGTTTGAAAAGCCGATCTTGTTTACATGTAGGGTGGGTTGGGGGTTGAACAGAGAGGTTTAGTTTAAGCAGTTCAAGTCGAGCTGCGGGCTTGGATTCACGCAGGGTGCAATGTGTGCTGAGGCAGAGATTCGACAGCTTCTACATCACAAGAGGCGTGGCCGCATCGCCGCAGCCGACTCTAACCTATTGCTATGCTCGTTCTGCACACTGAACATCACTCCCAAAGCGCGGGATCGCCCGCACTAGTGCAAACCCATCAAAGTGAAAAATCAGCCTACTTGAGCCTCACTTCTTGGCCTTTTTTTTGGCGGAAGCACCATTAGGCTTCGAGGATGCCGGGCGCTTGTTGTTGTTGTCCACCTTATCCAAGTACTTCTTGGCATTCCTGCGAGATTCGGCTGTAGGTTAGGGGGGTTGCTAAAATTTGAATATATGGCATTCCTGGAAGATTCGGCTTTAATTTAGGGGTTGAGTGTTTATAGGATTTACACTATATTAGGTTTTTGGGCTTTATAGAGTTTAAATAACTGTCTGGAATTTGCGAAGCTTGTGTTTGGAAGTATTGAGCCTTAACCCGCAACCTCCAAACCAGCCAAGAATTCAACCCAATGCGCAACATCGGTCCGGATTCTCGTCTCTGCAGCAACGGCTTTGCTGCACCTCAACAGTAGATTGACGGGTTTGGGTGAAGCGAAGCATAAAACTGACAGATGTGTGTAAAAGACGAGAACCGTACACGAAGGTGGCCGTCTTCATCTGCTGCTCAGCCTTTGAGTTGAACCTGTGCTAAGAAAGATACACATCAACCTGTGAGTGTAGTCACCAGATAGTTAAGGCTAGGTACGATGCATCAAAGCCAGTCACCTCGCCCTCACTATAAACCACCTGGCATTTTTCGTGCTCGGCTTCCATCTTCTCCACCCAATCAGCGAGGAGCGCGATGTGCCTTTGCGTTTGTGGGCGGCTTCCGGCTCTGGGCTGAGACTTGAAACTTATAGTTAAGAGTGGGTTGGAACACCACGGGTTTATGGGAAGTTAGGGTTCAGGGTTTATTTTTAGGGTTTAGGGTTTAGGGTTTTTTTAGGGTTTAGGGTTTAGGGATCTCATTCAGATTTGTAGCTTCTTCGTATCAGCGTCCTCATAATTTTTGGAGAGGTCTTTGGAAAGGGCACGAATCTTGCCAAGCTTGGCCAAGAGGTCCTCTTGGAATTTGTGCAACACCGAGGCGGCCTGCATCAGATACTGTGAACAAATAGTATATCCGGACGGACTGACCAGTGATAGGATTTATTATGGACAGACGGACCGATCCTTGGAGCTCTGCGAACTGGCAGCAGCGATCTGCTTGCTTGCAGGCGTCATCTTGCTCTTGTAGGCTTCCACTCCCTTGAACGAGCCCTCTGGGATCGACACAGGTGCATCAGCCTAAGTTAAGAACTCAGGCAGCACAAAGACTAGATGCCGACTGTTATTTCTGCTGCAACATGCGAGGCAATCTGCAAAACATTGTTTGAACTTGGAAGCCTTGGAAAGGCCCGTCTGTCGTTCTTCGACAGACAAGGTTTCTTTCTTACACCCGGTCTCTCGAATCCGAACCCAGTATTCTTCCGCATCGTCGTAGCAGTTCTTCCTTGGTTTCTGCAGCAGGAGAATACAGTTTTTGCAGTGTAAGCCTTCACATACAAGAAAGACTCCTTGCCCTGACCCCCAATCCTGGGCCCGGACCGGCAAAGGGACTCGCCCGCGGCCTTGCATTGGCGGATTGCGCCATCGATTCTGGTCCTGAGGCCGGCGTATCACAATCAAATATCACACCGCATGCCCAATGTAGCTATATATGCATTGCTGTGAGCACGATAGATAAGTGTGGGGCTGGCTCCACTTCAACTCCGACTTCATTTCCACTGCACTGTACCAGCCCTCGTCCACCTTTAAGACGTACTTTTCCTTTTTGCTGACTATACGTTCGAGCTTCTCCAGGAAGATGTCCTCCCATGGAGCAGTTAGAGACATGAATCTGTGTAAGTGGCCCCTAATATATATGTCAGTCCTTGCAGAAGTTGCAGTCACGAAGCAACAGAGTCATCTCGGACTTGTTGCTCTCCCATTCTTTTCTAGCAAACTCCGGGGCATCCAACTCCTTCTTCTTCTTGTGGGGCTTCATCATGCGGTTCAAGCGGGACCGGGCCGCCAGGATCAGCTTCTCCTCCGCGGCAGATGTGCAGGCTGTGGGTCGATGTAGTTCGAAGTTTAGGTAAGTTTGTTAGATATAGATCGTGCGTAGGTAAGGTGGGGGGTCGAGGGATTATAGGTTTTATTGAATTTAGGGAGGATGGTCAAGATTTTTCATGGGATATTGGGTGTTGACCATTGCAATATCCCTCCCACAACCTCGGGCACCCTATGCCAAAGCCAGATGGGTGAATAGAGTCGTTCTGTAAGTGTCGAAGACTTAAGACGAGCTTGTAATATAGACACACATAGCACATGTGCATATATACATTCGCACACACACACACACACACGCGTCACACACCTACCACTGCCTTGCACGCTATACAGTATGTAAAAGGAGTCTCTGCTATGGACAGCCGGTTTACCCAAACCCTAAACCCTAAACCGAGTCAACTACATAACTGAACTATATAGAGGGTTTCTGATCTGTCCTGGCGAGTCTGTTCCTTGGTGAGCTTCAGGTTGCTCTCGATCTTGACCGGAACGGATGTAGTAGGTGCTCGGGCGGGGGTCGCGATCGGACGAGGCGCTTCGGTCTCTTGGGGCTGCACGGGCTGTGCTGTGGGCTTGGGCTGGGGTGGCAGCTTGTTCTTTTGCGGCGTGTCCCCGCAACACTCAACTTTCACAACTTTCAGACGCGCGGCCCTGAAATGGTTCAGCAACTCTTCTTCCGTCATCTCCTGAGATTCATGTGTGGAATGCACGAGATTGGTGCTCCCACTCCGGGTTCAGAATTCATGCAGCTCTGGGAATGTTCAGAACATTTGCAGCCAGGCATCATCAACATCGATGGTTTTTTCAGATGCTGGGGGAGGATCTGCAGGCCGCCCAGCTTCTGCAAGATCATCGGCGGTTGCCTGGGCAAGGGATGTATTGCTCGATCGTAACCACAAAGGTTTATATAGGGTTTAGGATTTAGGGCTTAGGGAGTTTAGGGTGGGGGCTTAGCCATTTAATCCTCGCGGCAGGAATGGTCTCAGCTTCGTAGGTCGCTTGGTGCTCATTTCCCACCTGATTCTGTAGAGGGTAGCTTCTAGATCGGTAGATACAAACCATCGAACATCATTGTTGTTTTCCAGAAGCAGGGTGCTGACCAAGGGGCAGGATTCCGGGGCGAGTTCATGGATTCGACCGAGTCCAATTCCTCGGATCTGGGCTTTCTAGGCTTACAATTACTAGTACACCTGTATAGGGTTTAGGGTTTAGGGATTTAGGGTTTAGGGTTTTAGGGTTTTAGGGTTTATATGTTTGGGATATGCGACAGAGTCTCTGCGAGCTCCCGTTGGAGTTGGGCCTCCTCCTCGTCTAGTTTCGACAAGTCAGCCTCCTTGTCCACACTACAGATCCCGGCATCTAGAGTCGCCGTGCTCCACTGTTTCGAGACTACGTCCATCGCCCGGGCACTAGGAGCTGACAAGCGCTTGGTTGGCACTCGAGGACCTGTGAAAAGTCTGTTTTGGGTTTTGCGAACAACGAAGCATCCACTCCAGCAAGCAGAGCAGCATTCAGAGTAGGTCCATTTTTTGGGCAGTGGCGGCCGTATGCGTAGTCGCACACGATCACAAGGAATTGCAGTTGCACTTCGGACCATCATTTGTGCTTCAGAAGCTACCTTCGCGGCTATGCCCACGGAGGCTAACAACCCATATTTCAAATACGGGTTTATACGGGTTAAATATGGGTTTTATACGCTTTTTATACGGGTTGGGAAAAGTAGGTTTTTTTCTATGTCACCATATACGGGTTATATACGGGTGATATATGGGTTACGTACGGGCAATATATGGGTTTTATACGGGCAAATACGGGTTCTATACGGGTTAGCCTGGGTTGCCTAGTACAAAACCACTCAAAAAACCACTTCGGGGATGTTAGAATGCCTAAAACAGTGCTCAAAACCTCACGAAGCCATCCTAATTTCCTCTTCGGAAGCACAATTGCTGAGGTTCCTTAGACCAAATCGCAGCTACATCGCCAATTGCTCTGGGGTCCTGAGGGTTGTAGGATTTCTTGGGGTGAAAACCAGGTTTTGTTCACTTTCGGGAGCATGATGACGACTCTAGCCCCAGCTGCAATTAATTAAGCCCTCTGAGGGAAACTCCGCGGCACAAGGTCGCTCCACTCAGGTGGAACCAAAAGCCTTGTGCCACCTCTTAAATAAACAAACACCTGCTCTAGATCAGCAAAGGACCACAGCTCAGCCTCCCTACCATACTGCATCGACGCAAACGTCTCTACAGCACTCGGAAGCACCTCAGGCAGCTCCGGCTGTCCATGTGCCGTGGCCTTCAGGAGCTCGCAATGGTGCGCCAGGAAGCAGGCGAAGCGTGGCGGATACTCCCTCGGCGGGGGCCGGGCTTGGAAAAGTAGGTCTTTAGGGTTTAAAGTTTATATAGAGTTGATATACAGGGTTTTGGGTTTATACTCTATAATGGGTTATTGCGGGTCTAGGTAGGATTATTATATATGGGGGATGGGTAAGGATCTGTAAGGGGATAGGGTGCACGGACCCGTTGTTTCCCATCTAGAGAACTGTTTTGAGTTGCGGCAACATACTATAGTTCATTGAGCATCTATAGCCGCTTCTCGTACGACCTTACAATATATAGCCTTAAAGCCAAAAAGTTCCTTTTGGTCTGGCCTAAGGGTGTTTGTCCTAAGTCCTAGATAGTCTAGATTTGGTGCACTTGGGGGAACTATACAAGAGCGATATGTATGTATGTTCTATCTATATTAGATTCAATCAGAATGGCCGAACGTAGAGTTCTATATCACAGTCATTGTGCAGTATGACTTTTTGCAAAGTGGAACCAACCTCGATTAGTAAACCCTGCTCCTTGAAGATAACCCTGGCTGTAAATACTTTACACTCGACACGATTGAGTCGATCATCCAATCCCATTAAACAAGCCCATCCTCCTAAACCCGAAGCACAAAGCCTTATGTAGATGATTGGGTCTAAGTGACGATCTCGAAGCTGAGTTTTTTGGAACCGATTAAGGGCTTCAGGCTTCTAGGGGCAGCATATATCGAATAAATAAAGATGTGCTCGGGATGGGGATCTTATGTATGTTCGAAACTGTAAATCTTTCAACCTGAAAGACCCGACCTAAGCCCTCCTCCCCTGTATGGGATTGTTCTTTAAACTTACCGGAGACTCGACTGGTGTCAGACTTGTGCTTAATGTGTTTACAGCCGCTATAGGGTCTAGGGAAAGCTCAGGGTTTGTTTAGAGTCAGTAAAAGGTATGTACAAGGGAACACGCCGGTATAACAAGAGTTATAGCCAGTAGAAAGCATACAACCTCCAATATAGCAAATATATATAATCCTTAACCTATAGATGGCCCATCATATAGAATGTGCAAAGGCACACGGCTATATATGAACTAGAGAGCTGTCGATATCTGAAAGAGATACAGTCAGTCAGAATACAGAGGACCCTCTAAATTACGACAATCGCAAGACTCTATCCGACGACATAGGACAGGACCTAAAAGCCCCAAAACACCTGCTTATCCAGCAAGCCCTACCAAGCCCAAAAGTCCAAACCTGTCAAGAACAGCAACCGGGGCACTCCGTTGCACGTAGCTCCGTGGTCCCTGTATAGCACTCCTTTCCCTCGGCATTTCTCTTTCGAGACACTGTTTGAGACTTTCGCGCACACTTCACGTAGAGCTTGCCCTGGTTCAACAGATATATCTTGTCACTGTTGGAATAAGCATAGTGTCGCTTTGGAGTCGGCGCGCCGAATTGGCACATCCACCATCTCGTGTCAAATACCTTGTCGACTACGCTTCTCTCTCTCCCTCTCTCTGTATCTCTCTGACTCTCTCTGTCTCTCTCCCCACTTCTCTCTCACGCTCCGCACATAAACCTACCTACAATGTGAACAGCAGAAACCAAGCTGCAGCATCTCGTCCCCGAGCATTGAAAAGATCAAGAAGCATCTTCCGAAAAGTTGGATAGTATTCGAGAACCGACTGACTCGGCTGTTCGAGGAACCACGTGCCTCCTCGTGCGGTGACGAGGTAGATCAGCAGCACGCTCCTGCCCCGGCTGGCTTTTTGGGATTTGGGCCATTTGGGGTTTTAGTTTTGGGGCGAATGGGGTTTAGGGATCAGGGTTTTGGGATTTAAGGTTTGTAGGTGCAAACTAATTCGTCCCTCTCCTTTCCAGCAACTTATTGCTGTAAGCAACTGAAGGGAAGGCATCGAAACCCAGGCTGCTGCACTTGCTTCGTTTGGATGTTCCAGCATTCATCTGACAGAAGGACGAACACATTACGGCAAACATAGCGAAGAAGTTGTCTGGGCAGCCACGGAGGATGAAGTAGCAGGCGAGCCTCGGGAGGTTAGAATTAGAGACGGGCAGGGTCTTGGTTATGTAGCCTGTATATGCAAAGTATATAGTTACATTCTTGCACTAGATATTCTACCGAGATGCAAGAAGCCGGAAGGATCGTTGATATCCATAAAGTTGGAGCGGTGCCCTGGGTTTGTTCGATTGTACTTTTTGTCGAACCGCCCAGCTTTGAAGGATCGGCTTCGCATCGCAAACGTGGTTCGAGCTCGGCCAGCATAAAACTCCAAGAAATCATAATCCTGGGATGTAGTGCGTTCTAAAATTCTGTGCCCCCGGGTCGGTCGTTGTGCAACACAGGTCTACACTATGCCAGCCTCGATCAGTTGATCGTCCGTGTAGCTGAACACCAAGAGCAGCAAGCATAGAACGAACTCCTGGGCCCAAGTAGGCTTGTCTTTTTATCGAGTATACAGTACCAACATTTAGAGTACTTTCACTATATGCAAATCCAAGGCTCCTTTGGAACATCGAGGTGTTTGAGTGCATACAAAAGCCGATCAAGGTTCACCATTGTTGCAGCAATCGCAGAAACGGAGATGGAGCGAATGCCACTTAGCAGAGGAATGCAACACGGCGCTGCGAAATGGTGCTACAGATGCAAATCAACCCAGCCCTAAACCCTAAACCCTATACGGCCTATAAAAACCCTAAGCCCTGACCCCTGTAGAATGGTGGCTGCACAGGACCTATATATATGTACAGCCCCAGCAAACCTTGATCCTGGTCCCGACCAACGGAAAGCTCACATTCATCAGCAATAGCCGAACTGCAGACGTCTCAGATTCATGCGCACCCACTAGAACAATCAAGACATGGCTGGGAATACACTTGTTGGCACGGAGGTTCAGCCTCACCTTCCACTTGTTGCCGCGACCAGGTTTCGAGCTGGTCTTGACCTTGGCGGCAGCGGTGGGGAGAGGACAGCATTCAGGGCACGTTGAAGCTAGCAGTCGGTTGAACGGCAGTTGTGGAGCGCTGCTTTTACCCTCACGGCACGGACAGAAGCTCTCGATCGGACGAATATCGCACGTGTTGCGTCCCCGGAACGGAACATTAAAAGAATCTGCAGGCCTTGGCATTGCTAGCATCGTCTCTAAGAAGTGTTTCGAAATCAGGGATCCATTGAAAAATATGAAGCACAATTAACACACTATAGGCCTTCTCAGTTGCTTTAAAGCTTGGAACCGAGCGCAGGCTTCGATTGACAATAGCCCAGCAGCTATGCTACCCAGGATCAGTTTGGAAATCATATAAAGGATCGTAGAGTCGTACATCTACGTACACTGTTTGATTCGGTTGGGTTTATACAGGGTTTAGGGCCAAGTTTAGGGCTTATGTAAGGTTTATAGGGCCTATATATAGAGGGTTTTGGGTTGATGATCGCCCTAGAAACAGACGTGGCTAGGTTGAGCTAGAGTGCTAGAGCCGCCCGAAGCCCAGACTGCACCACTCTACTAAGCACAAGGCCTTTCTAGGCTGGTGGTTTTGTCACCCCGCAAGCTGTTCATCAGCTTGCATCCCAACGACAATCGGCACACCTAAGCTTCTGAAAGCTCGTGCACAGCAGTGCGTCTTGATCTTCATCCAAGCAAACTGCGCAGCGGCTTCGCCGCCGAAATTTCAGGCCTCAAACCATGTTGGGCTTCAAGACTTGTCTGACATATTTCAGACCACACTTGTTCACGCAGCTCACAACGTTGTCCTCGTCGATTTCGACAGGCATCTCTTTCATCATCTTCATACAGTAGGACCAGAAAGGGTCCTGTGAGGAAGCAAACTAAATTTGATAATGAAACAGACAAGGATGCTTGAATAATCGAAAGGATATACACACAAGACCTGGACCAAACTGAAAACTTCTGATTCTTCCACCCTAAACCCAATCCTCGTAGAGAGTGGGGCCTCCCGAAATCAAAGGTAGCACCTTCTTCTGGAAGCAGTCTTTGATGGCATCAAACCGCGCCCCAGGAAATCCCCGCTTCGGTCGGTAGCGCTTGGCAAACGTAGCCTTGTCGCCGTCAGTCGGGTTCTCGCCGACTTCGTCCGTGACTGCCTTGCCCTTGGACTTTCGGCCAGGCTTGTCATCCTGCTTGTCACCCGCTTCCGCCTTTGCGGGCGAGGGCTTGGACTTCTCATCCGCGGTCTCGGCGGTCTTGGTTTTCTTTCTCGCGGGCTTCTCGTCCTCGGTCGCGGCGGTCTTGGTTTTCTTTCGTGGGGGCTTCTCGTTCTCCTCGGTCTCGGCGGTCTTGGTTTTCTTGGGTGCGGGCTTCTCGTTCTCGGTCTCGGCGGTTTTGGTTTTCTTGGGTGCGGGCTTCTCGTCCTCGGTCTCGGCGGTCTTGGTTTTCTTTCGCGGGGGCTTCTCGTTCTCGGCCGGTCGGCCTTTGCTGCCGAAATTCCAACCCTCTTCCTCCTCATACCAAGCAGCCATCCACTCATCCCACTCTTCCTGGGTGGACTCAGCTGCCTCTGCGTCATCGGCCTTCGCGCCACGGCCGCGGCCACCCCCGCGACCGCGGCCGCGGCTTCCACGACCATCCTCCGTCTTCTTAGTCTGCTTCATGTTCAACTGATCGGCCCTCGTGGCCGGAGCTCCGTCTGCACCAGCCAGCAATGAATGTTAATGGAGAATATACAAAACTTCACTATATGGATACGGGTCACCATAAAAACGAAGACCAGAAATCCAAAATCAGAGGATGTGCAAGATTTCTAGACCCAATCCTTCTCCGGCGTGAACAACGGGGCTTCGTCCTTTGAACTGCTAGCCTTGTTGTCCAACACTTCGGGCGAGTAGGGGTGGTAAGGCAACTTGGGGGACTTCCGAAGGATCTTGCTCTGATACTCCGCCCTGCGAGCCGCAGTGGAAACGTCTGGGCTACCATCCCTGGGCTTGGTCGATGAAGGTGGGGTTTCAACGTCCTCCAAGTTGTAAGGCTGCGTCTCCACGGCATCGAGACAACCTGTTTTTAATCATGATGGTCATTCAAACTGAAAACAGCTATTGGCTATATATGTTCTACAGAAGTGGCAGGCATCATGGCTTGCTATACAGGAATCAGACATGAAGCCTGTCGGCCCTGCGCTGGCAGGAACCACGGCAGCCTCGGTGATCTTCGCCCGCTTGGCACGCAACCTCACCATGAGTTGTATCACGAAAGAAAACCACCGCCCATACAGTATCAAAGACTTTTTCAAACGAGAAACATCTCCAGCCGTTTCATGATCTCCCGCTTGCGCTCTAGTCGCAACTCTTGATCGCCTCGGCTGCGATTTAATATAGTTCACAAAACAAAACAAACGACCCGATTGAGGCTCCATGGGAAAAATAAGAAAACTCAGTCTTCCACCCGCACTTGGTTCCACGTGTTCGGTGAATGTCGGCTTGGCTTTCACGACAGGTCTACACTCGCTCGGCTTTTCGATGACTGGTCCACTCTCGCCCGGCTTTTCGATGACTGGTCCACTCTCGCTCGGCTTTTCGACGACTGGTCCATTCTCGCTGGGCGTTTCCACGACTGGTCCAATCTCGCTCGGCTCTTCGATGTTGGGAACACCAGCGCTGGGCACTTCGGTTATGGGGCCATCATCACGGGCTTCTGGAGCCGATTCTCCCACAGCCTCCTTGAAGGCATTCAAATGGTGGCCCAAACCAGAACCATCCGAATCCCCCCCTTCGCCACCGTCATCTTCATCTTCATCATCGTCATAGCCATCCTCGTCGTCAGTGGCCTCCTGCCAGACACAGAAAACCAGAACCCTCTTTAGCCCCGACATGTGACTCCCGCAATGACGATAGAGGAGTCCTCAGGAGACTCCGCTCGCCTGGCACGGCGCCGTGCCAGGGATTCGTTGATCTGATCCACGATGCCCTCTGCAAAAGCAGGCTACATGAACCGATAGTCAACACATCCGAACTGTCACATGACACCCACCCCAATAGTCCCCCAGTCCTGCAAGTCGGGATCCAGGGCCAGGCATAACTGCTGGAAGTCAGGAACCTGAAGACATCTATTCAGGATTTTTTTCGAAAGTACGAGATTGCAACAATCGGTTATTCCGAAATCACCATAAATACATGTGTATATGCGGCTAGGCAGCATTCGACACCTCTTGGCGTCGACATTTCATCTTAACGAAACCGCAGTTCTTCCGAATCAGCCACGAGAACTTATCTACGTCCTCGTCCGAGGGGTCACGCTTGTTCTTTGTCATGATGGCGCGAATCTCAGACCGAAAGGAATCAATGCTTGGTAGCTTCTTTGCAGCCATGCGCATGCGGGCCAAAACAGGAAGTAACAAACGATTGTATTTCGAAGGCATTTGAATATCCACCTGTTTCTCCGATACCTCGGCTATCAAAGGCTTGCCAAGTCGTAGATCTTCCCGCACAGACTCGTCCGAATCCCATTCGGAAGCAAGCCCTTCGAGCGAACATTCGGGCATGGCGACGGCACTACTTCGAAAGCCTAAAAAGGTGCACCCATACAAATCCTTGAGATCATGGATAATCAGAAATACATTTGTCCACACAAGCCAAGCATTCTGCTCCCAACTGCCAGGACAAGATGAGGGCTCGACCATTCGTCCATCTGCTGCCCGTGACAAAAGGGCTGGGCATTGCTGTTGCAAACATGGAAGCTAGATTCTACAACATTAAAGACTGCTGTGCGGGATCAGGGGGCCCTTGCATAGGCCATTATTTTTGGTCGCACATAGGACCTACAGATTATAAGTCCTTCAACCCCTATATAGGGTCTAGGGTTTAGGGGTCTATAGGGGTCTATAGGTGCCTATAGGGGAGAAGCCAAGGCTGCTGTGCAGTATACACCTCGAAGCCTCCATGCCTTTAAGTTTAACCATAGGACCTCGTAAATAAAATAAACATACTCCACGAACCCGACCCAGCTATCCAGGTATATATCCTAAACCCTAAACCCTAAACTATATGCCCTTTATAGGTATATATACCCTTATATAATAAACCCTTAACAAATTCCTGCTGCCTTGATGAACACCGGCGAGCGAGGCCAGTCGTCTCTTGCCCAGCTGCATCTAGGGTTTAGGGTTTGTAGGTTTTAGGGTTTATAGGTTTTAGGGTTAAGGGTGCTATAGCACAATTGTGCTTCTTCTTTATGCAGCTTACAGGAGCCGGCGATTGTGTAGTAGTATGTTGGTTGTTTTGTTGAACGGGTTGTGGTTTTACAGGGTATATATATGCTCTTGTCAGAATGTCTTTACAGGGTTGTGTAAGCAACATAGCACATTAATCATGGTCGTCCGAAGACGTCGTCTAGATACTTTGTCTATATAGTGGTGGTCATAGCATTCGGGTAGCAGAAGTAGCAACAGCAGCAGCAACGGCACTAGCTGTAGTAGCAGTATCTTTACTACATCAGTAGTGTTTTATGGTATACAGAAGCAATTTTAAGGGTTTCAAGGGAAAACCGGGTTTTTACAAAGAGAACCGAGTTCTTACCCCAAATACCCTGAATAACCGGGTTCCTAAATTATAACTGACAATTTTATGGGTTCTTGCGGGTCTAGGTATATGTATATATATGTATATATATACATATATATGTATACATATGTACATGTGTATATATGTACATATGTATATATACATATATATTGTATATATTGTATATATTGTATATATTGAGGGCTACATTCCTGTGCACACGTCCGGCAGGTGTGGAAATGCTCTTCATGTACACGTACCTGCAGGTCGATGGTCATGGCCCGGGGCTCAAGTCTTTTAAGGAAGGTGTCTTAGATTTAGCCATGGTGGGAGAAGGCGACCTCGCTTTCGCGGTACTGCGATCTTCTGACGGAAAGGGAGCCAAGATTTGTGGGTGGGTCGTCGAGGCTTCAGGCGACGCTGCTGTCATTGGAACCAACATAAAGTTTCTGGAAGGAGTGGACGGCGAAATTAGTCGAGGTAAGGGCGGTCATAGCTCCTTGGGATTCGTTCGCATACCAATCACTGGTCTTAGTGCATCTGCGCCTTCATCGTGGGACGGGCCGAGGGCCCGACAGGCCCCGTCGGCCAGTGCTTGCGAGGAGGCATGGGCGGTAGCAGAGAAGAATATCGGGAGCAGCGGTGCCGAGGCCCCTCGAGAAGAACGCCGGCGAGGGAAACACGGGACACGAGCCAGTGCCAGCCTGGAGAAGGGTTTCGCGGGACTGGCTTCAATGTTCACCGCCCCTGGCAGCGACAGCGAAGAATCAGAGGACGAGGACGACGGCGAGCAAGCCCGCAGCTCTCGAGAGTTTCTACCTCCCGGGATGTCCAGTGCGAAAGGGGAGAAGCCCAAGACCGACAGAGCCAAGCCGAAAACCACCATGGACCCGCAGGACTTGTTGGCTGCGGGAGTTGCCTCAGGGCAGAGTGCACAGGAGCTGATGCCCCTCGTGATGATGAGCTATCTCTTATCCGCAAGAAGAGCAAAAAGGGACGCAAGCGCCGAGACGAAGGACCCCTTGGTGGCTCCTCCTCCGACGACAGCGAGGACGACGAAGATTTCGGGAAGAAAGGGCTCAAGGCCGTGAATGCTCTGCACCGCCTGAACAAGCGCATACAGGACAACCCCCGGAAGATCTACATGGACTTCGAGCGCGAGATCATCGAGGAGCTCGGAGTGGTCGGCGGACAACCGTGGTCGGTGCGCGATTACTAGCGCCGCCAACCTTGGGGGAAGTTCCGCGGGATACAGAGATGTGCAGTGCAAGATGCAGCGGCCTACGAGCTGCTACGCTCCGGAAAGACGGAGGCTGCGAAAGCACAGTTAGTGCAAAATATGAAGAGCAAAATACAGATGGTCTTGCAGCAGGGCGACTGGTCGAGTGCCTGGTTGCTCACCGGGCTCCCCGACCCGCTGACGAAGCGGGAGTTCGGGGGGTCCAAAGAGGAGCTGGCAGTGGTGAGCGGATACATCGATGCACTGGCGAAGCTCAGGAAGCGAGTGAAGGAGACCTCGGCCAACAACCTCGCCGACGAAGACGAAGAGGCGGGGGGCCACCACCGCAAGTGACATCTCCGAAGGAGGCTACGGCTGCTGGAGCTGGTCGTACAGCGTTCCCGCTCCTTCGCGGCAAGAATTCAAGTTTTCTACGATATTACACGTGGTTTAGATGCACCCATAGTATGTTGCCAGAGCGGTCTGGCGATGATGTTCCCCTTTTCCCGTGTTGTCCTCCCTACCCCGAAGCTTTTGCCGGCGGGGATCTGACACTGAATGCCCTCCTGACGGGGGAAGACTGGGCCAAGTCCATGGTGAACATGTTCGTGGCTTGGGCTAACTTCGTCGTGCTGGGGAGTCCGAAGTGTCTGGAAGGCTGGCACGAGCCGCGAGTAGGCTACCGAAGCGTAGCGGACATCAAGCAGTTCGCTGATCGGCTACTTGGCGAGGTGGTGAGCTTTTGCAGTCCCGAGCTGATAGGAGAATCCCTAAGATGCGAGGGCAAGCGTTTGCAAGTTGAGGAGGTCCTCGACCTTCTCTCGTGTACAGTTTCTAGTTATGAACGTGTGGCGGGCAAGGCTGATTTTCCTGGTACCACGGCCCTTCCTGTGGTCGCTGACAGGGTCGCGATTCCCGCTGAGGCGGGGCAAGTGGACCCGTTGCAATGGCTCCCTGAAGAGCAGGCCGCGGTGGTTTCGCATCTTGCGGAGATCATGTTACCTGTTGAGGAGTGGGGCGACCGGCTTACTCCTTGTCATCGGGTCCCTCCTGCTGAAGAAGCCGACTTAGTGCGGAAGCTCCTGAAGGCTCAGATGATAGAACTCGTACCCGAACAGCTGCTCCCAAGGTCTACGGATGGCGAGCCCTTGGTCGGAGGCCTGTTCTGTGTAGCCAAAAACGCGACTGAGGACCGCTTGATCTATGATAGGCGACCGCAGAATGCCGCTTCCCGCAAACTGCAGTACGTGGGCTCAGTTACCGAACGGAGCTTGTTTGACCAGGATGTTGCTGAAACCTCATCAGTATTTGCGTGGATCGGGCGACGACCTGCGCAACTACTACTATTCTCTCAAGCTCCCTCAAAACTGGGTAAGATATAACGCAGTTGGTAGGCGCATTGATCCGGACGTTGTCCGCGCTGCTGGGTTGGACCCTAAAGTTCCACACCGGGCTTGTTTTCGGGCTCTAGGCATGGGAGACCTCAACGGCGTGGATATCGCTCAAGCAGTCCATGAGGCAGTCCTGGGACGAGTTGGGCTCTTGGGGCCTGACACCAAGATCATCTACGGCAGACCAGCACCGATAGGAGACGTGTGGGAAGGCGTATATATAGACGACTTGCTTATCACCCTGCGTGTTGACATGCCCTTCGATATCCCCCTTGACGGTTCCTTCGTCCCGCCTGAGGCCACTGATACAGACATCGACATGCAGAAGACGAAGACAGCAGAGAAAGCCTACGAGGCCGCGTGCCTCCAGCGTGCCGAACACAAGAGCTTCAGGGCTGAAACTTCGTTCAAGGCATGGGGTGCTGAAGTTGATGGAATCCTCGGAAGAATAGGGGCTCCGCTTCTGTTGAGAAGGCAGGTGTGGGTTTTGCTTTGCCGCATCATCAAGATTGGGGGCTGTGCGAAGAACATTCTCCAGCGCGTAGTTGGTTATACATCCTTCATTCTGCAGTATCGGCGTGAGCTCTTCTCCCTCCAGCACAACATCTACTGCTTCATGAAGAAAATGCCGGAGCAGGGCTACATGAACCTCCCTCCGTTTGTCATTGATGAGTTAAGAAGCTACGCCCTACATCTCCCCTTCTGCATCACCGACATGCGCAGGTATGTGAGCGAGACCTTGTTCGCGACAGATGCTACGCCTACTTCGGGCGGTGCTGTGAGAGCCCAAGCCCCTCGAGTGCTCGTTGATGAACTGTGGCGACTCTCCGAACACCGAGGGTCCCCGGAGAGGCTTGATCGAGACGTCGACTTCTTTGAACAGCAGGTCCCAAAAGCCCCTTCAAAGTTCGTCAGCATGGTATCGGAGTGCTTGCCTTGGGAGGTCACTGCGGCTTACGAGTTCAGGCAGACCTCGCACATCAACTTGCAAGAGGCTCGAGCCTTAAAGCGCGAACTGGTGAGACTTGCAGGGAAGCTCAATTCCTACGGCATGATCCAGCTTTGCTTAAATGATTCGCGTGTCGTCGTCGGAGCCTTCGCGAAGGGGAGGTCATCGTCGTTCAAACTGAACGGTATCCTTCGGAGCCTCGCGCCCTTCCTCATCCTGGGTGGGCTCTCTTTCGCGATGCTTTGGGTAGAAACCCACTCCAACCGAGCGGACCACCCTTCGAGGCGGGAACTGCTACCTGCCCCTCGAGTGCCTCCACCTTGGTTGGGAGCTTTTGGCCTAAAAGCCGCCGTCTTGCAAAAGCCAGGGCTCGAGATCTTCACTGTGTCGGAAAACCTCACAAAAGCTCATGAACGGGTGGGGTGGAAGATGCTCCCGGCGATCACAGTCAGGAATGCCTGGAACGCGATGGACTGTACTTGGGACAACACCATTGCGAACAGAGCTATTTCTTTCTTATGGTTGAGCCCCCCTTGCTCGAGTTTTTCTGCCCTGCAAAACTTGAACCGCGATGGACCCCTGAGGACTGCGGAACAACCGGAGGGCGACGAGGCAGATCCCAAAGTTGCGGTTGGAAACCTTCTTTGGCGACGAGCCTTGCTCCTCGCCTGGCAGGCGCTCGAAAAGGGAATCCCTTGGTTCCTCGAGCATCCGCTTACGAGCCGAGCTTGGAGACTGCCGGAGACTCAGCTACTCATGAGACACGCGGCGGTTAACAGTTACATCGTTCATATGTGCGCCTATAGCTCTGACACGCCCTACCCCGCCAAGAAGCCCACCAGAATTATTACCACAGCACCTTGGATTGCCAACATCGTCAAATTGTGCCCTGATACGCATACACACGGGCCTCCTCCGCGTGGCACTCGTGCTCGAACTGCCAATGCCTACCCAAAGGGTTTCTGCGTTGAGTTGGCCAGGGCCTGTGTGTACTGGCATCATGCCGGGACGCCTGCGGCGCCAGGGGCTCACTAAAGAATACCTCCAGCATCTGCAGGTCTCAAGCACGTGGTTATTGGGCTTGGTTCGCGAGCTGGGTGGAAAGATCAGTTCATCATCGGCGGCTCGGGATGTTGATAGATGGCTGGAGTTAGCTGTCGAGGTCGCGTATGAGAGGGGCTTCAAAATGTATCAGGTCCGCCTCGGGGTGATCGGACTTCAGCGGAAGCTGCGTGTACCAGGCCCGCTGCTCAGAGAGACGTGGCAGGCCATACGAGGTTGGAAAACGTTGCAGCCTACTCGAAGCCGGGTTCCTATATCCCGGTACGCGCTTGAAGGGCTACTCCTGACATGCCTCCTGAAGGGGAAGCAGTCCTTCGGGTGGTTGAGGCGCACCTGGTGGGCGACCATGCTTTCATCGTGGTTGTCATTTTACGGGATGTTGAGGCCGGGGGAAGCTCTTCGGCTACAAGTTCGAGACTTAGTTTTTCCCGATCGCGTCGCTTTGGGCGAACCTGGCCTCGGACTCGTGGTTCTCATTAGGTCGCCCAAGACTCGGCGTATCTGGGCATCCCAGAGTGTGCTTATCAAGGAGGCGGGCCTGGTGAGATGGTTACGGTGGTGGGTTGCAGACCTGAAACCTCGTGATGCAGTCTTCACCCTGAGTCGTCGCCTCTGGAGCGACCGCATGAGCGAAAGTGCCGAGCTTCTGCATCTTCAATCTTGCAGATTCACGCCCTCTTCCTTTCGCGCTGGAGGTGCGACGCATTACTACCGGGCAGAGCAAAACATAGGAAAACTGCAGTTCATGGGGAGGTGGAAGAGCACGGATTCACTTCACCATTACATTCAGGACGCCATGGCCGTGTTGGTCACTTCCCAGGCTCCGGCGGCTGGTAGAGAGTGTCTCGAAATGGCCCAGAACTTCATCCATTATTTGAACCATGCTCCTACTCTGTCTGCGCAGACTCTCCTCAAGCTTCCTTAGTATGTCGGACCGCTTGGCTAAAGCAGTGGAGGAGCTTGCCGCTGCCTTCCGAGAATTCCGAGTGAACGAGGAAGCTCCTAGTGAGTCGCATTTCTCGGTGGTCTCCTCTCCGGGGCATTCGCGAGGGGGCCCCCCGGGGTACTCATCAGGTCCCACGCGGACTCACGCACCAAAAGCAGCCTCTGACCGCAGAGAGCGCAAAGCCTCTAACGTTACTCCTCCGGGATCGCCTACATCTACAGTACGTCCTGCTACCGCTTCCAGTGTGGCTTACCACCGGGACATCCGTCACTACGTGATCCTTGTCAACCCGGATTCAGACGTTATTGGATACGTGGTGGGGGAGGGGGCGCCTACCTGGAGATGGATAGAGAAGACCCTAAAAGGCCAACGGCTCGCCGGCAGCGGTGCAAGGCTACGCCGCGTTCAGTCGGAAGCCCAAGGCGGAGGAGATTTGGCGGCAGACATTTCCGAACACGCCGATGCCACGACGTCGGATCTAAAAGCGAGTGCTACTACTCCGGAGGCAGCAGCGCACACCATGGTGAAGGCGCTTCACGCTGCGGCAACGCAACTGGGCCCCGAAGAGGTTGCGCCTGGTCTACCCGCCTCCGCAGTCCTCAATGACCAAAATGCGCGCTCCGCAGCCTCGCGTTGGAGAGCTGGCTCAGAGATTCGCAGGATGACAGCGGCCATGGCACGCTTCGCTGAGAGTTTGCGGAGCATACGACCTACTTGGCAGGGCGTGTGGGTTACTATGCACATACATATCTTATTAAGTAGATATGGAAGTTACAGGATATATGTAAACTCAACATATATGTGTTATAAGTCCACATACCATAACTCAGTTATCGGACTTAGCTAAGTGCAGTTAGAAGATGTACATACTTGTATCTGTCCAAAAAGAAAGCAAAATTCGAGTACATATATAAATATACCAAACACCGCCTTGCAGGGCAGAAGTGCTCGCAGGCAGGTTCATCCGTTCCATTTTGTAGCCGGCACCAGATGCTTCAAGGCACGACCCTGACTTTGCCAGGACTTTCTGCCATGTACAAACATGCACACTTAATGGCAGACGAGGGCATGAATCGAGCACCATTGGGATCCTCCTGCTGGAAAACATTTCTGCCA